AAAGGGTATAGTATTTCCTTCAGAAATGAGGGGAAAATTGTGTACTTTCCCAGACAAAAACTGCAGGAGTTTACCACATCACCAGCCCTACAAGAAATTCTCAAGGAAGTCCTGCACCTGGAATCTGAAAAACAATAATTACTACCATGAATATACAAAAAAGAATGGAACCCACTGGATGAACAAAAATGCAAACAAGAAACTGCATCTTATCACCACAAAAAACCATGACAATGTAATAATGCCCCTGCTTTACTTCTGAGTTTAGTAATTTTGGTCTTCTCTCTCTTTTTTTCTTGGTCAGTCAGTCTAGATAAAGGTTTTCAAATTTTGTTGATCTTCTTAAAGAATCAAATTTTGGTTTTGTTCATTTTCTCTGTTTTTTAATTCCGATTTCAAATATTTCTGTTGTAATTTTGTTATTTCCTACTCATATTTGCTTTTGGTTTGTTTTGCTCTTCTTTTTCTATTTTCTTAAGGTAGAAGTTTACATTACTAATTTGAAATTTTTCTTATTTTTAATATAGGTGTTTATAAGTATAAATTTTCCTCTAAGCACTCCATCAACCCTGCATCCTATAAATTTTGATATTGTGCTTTGATTTTTATCTCAAAGTACTTTTTAATTTCCCTGTGATTTTTCTTTTTCCCCATTGTATACTTAGGAGAGTGCTGTTTAATTTCCATACATTTGTGAATTTTCTAAATTTCCTTCTGTTATTGTGGTCAGGGAACATATTTTCTATGATGTTAGTCTTTTAAAACATATTAAGACTTGTTTTGTAGCCAAAAATAAAATAATAAATTAATTAAAAATAAATAAATAAAATCTACCAGGAAATGTACTATTTGTAGAGGGCAGAGATGGAACACAGTCTCTGAACTCAGCAAGCTCTGTCTAATACAGAAAAAAGATTCTGCCTTAATAATATGTCTATCACTCTCACCACCGCCTTCACAATGCCTAGAAGAATATCTAGCAAATGAATATTTGTTCCATAAATGAATGAACGTATGAGTGACTGAAAAAATAAACAAATCAATTAGATCAGGGGTCAGCAAGATAGGGCCAGTGGGCCAAATCTGGCCTGCTGCCTCATTTTATATAGCCCTGGAACTATGAATTGTTTTTATTTTTAAATGGTTGAGGGGAAAAAATCAAAAGAAGAATATTTCTTAACATATGACACTTACATGAAATTCAAATTTTAGTGACCATAAATAAAGTTTTATTGGAACACAGTCACTCATTCATTTACTTACTATCTTATCTATGGCTGTTTTCACACTTAAAACAGCAGAGTTGAGTACTTGTGACAGAGACCTTGTAGCCCGCAGTCTAAAATATTTACTACATGGCCCTTTAAAGAAAAGTATGCTGACCCTCAGATTAGATTACATTTTGATTAATGCATAATCCAGAAATGTATAAAGTGCTGTAAGAACCCAGAGATGAAAATACCTAGGAAAATCAAGGGAAGGTTTTAGGGAGGAGATAACATTTGAATTGGGTCTTGAAGTTAAAGTAGGAATTTACCAGGGAGAGACAGGGAAATGACCTGTGCAAAAGAACAGAAATTTGAAAGAAGATGCCACATTTGAGACTGTGGATGATTCAGTGTGAGTTGAGCAAAGGTTGCCTGAAGAGACAATGGCAGGAGATGAAGCTATAATAGGCTAGGGTCACATCGTAAACAATGCTTGGTTTGTGGACTCCTCAATTTAGTTACCTTCATCTGGAGAGTCTAGTTTGTCAATGACTCTCTTAAA